TACCTCATATGTTAATACTATTCCTGTATTAACACACTACTCATATGTTAATACTTTCCCACTGTTAACATACTACCTCATATGTTAAAACCATACCTCTGTTAACACACTACCTCATATGTTAATACTATTCCTGTATTAACACACTACCTCATATGTTAATACTATTTCTGTTTTAACACACTACCTCATATGTTAATACTATCCCACTGTTAACATACTACCTCATATGTTAAAACCATACCTCTGTTAACACACTACCTAATATGTTAATACTGTTCCTGTATTAACACACTACCTCATATGTTAATACTATTCCTGTTTTAACACACTACCTTATATGTTAATACTATTCCTGTGTTAACACACTACCTCATATGTTAATACTATTCCTGTTTTAACACCCTACCTCATATGTTAATAATATTCCTCTGTTAACATACTACCTCATATGTTAATACCATACCTCTGATAACACACTACCTCATCTATTAATACTATCCCTCTGTTAACATACTACCTCATATTTTAATACCATACCTCTTTTAACACACTACCTCATATGTTAATACTATTCCTGTATTATCACACTACCTCATATGTTAATACTATCCCTCTGTTAACACACTACCTCATATGTTAATACTATTCCTGTATTATCACACTACCTCATATGTCAATACTATTCCTCTGTTAACACACTAACTCATATGTTAATAGTATCCCTCTCTTAACACACTACCTCATATGTTAATACTATCCCTCTGTTAGCATACTACCTCGTATGTTAATACTATCCCACTGTTAAAACACTACCTCATATGTTAATACTATTTCTCTGTTAACCCACTACCTCATCTATTAATACTATTCATGTTTTAATACTATCCCTCTGTTTGTTATGTTATTACTGTAATACATATCTGCGCTCTCTCTCTCATATTTCAGAAATCCGAAGTAAGGAATTTCAACTTCTTGAAAAAGCCGGATATGTTCAGAGTATAGTAATGAGTCTGTCTCCGATAGTGTCCTTGTTTGCTGCTGCACTGACGTTTGCACTGCATACATTGACAGGCAATGATCTTACAGCTAGCAAGGTGTGTTATCCGTGTATACAATTCGTCGTTGGTATGCATCCTCAATAATGCATTCACGAATCTGATTGAGTCATTGTTTTCTGCATCGCAGGCATTTACAGTAGTTGGCTTATTTGAATGTATGAGATTCGCACTTGTAGCCCTGCCATTCAGCATCAAATCATTATCAGAATGCAAAGTGGCCTTAGACAGGATACAGGTAAGTTTCGTCTTTTGTTTAATTACATCGGGGAGTATATGTGGTTTGGATGTTGTTGTGTGGCCCTGTGGACAGTGAAGTGCGCTACAGGTTAGTGTAAATCCCATCTTAAAATATTTATATTTTTTCGTGTTAACAAACAGTGTATTTAGTATATAACATGTATATAAATCGCCTGACTCTGATATATATGATGTATAAACCTATTTTCAATAGGAAATATTGTTGATGGAAGAAATTCACCCCATTGTTAGGAGCACTGGCAGTCAAATTCATGCAGTTGATATAACCATGGCGACATTTACTTGGAAAAAACATTTACTTGGAAAAGAGAAATCAGATACTCAGATTGATAACCTTGTAACCGAGGAATCGACCATGACGAGAACACTTGATATGAACATCGTTATTGAAAAAGTATGTCAAATTACTCATAGCACCATCTATTGTTTGTACCACTGTGTCAATTGTCAGCTAATAATGCTATCTTCAATTCAATAAACAATATACATTATTTTATCTGCAAGCTTCGTTACATATAGTAAGCATAATCAACGTATCACCCCGCTCCTGTATCAACTTCATTGATTTCCAGTCCATAAATGGATTATATACAAAATACTACTGCTACATTTAAAGTCTATAAAAATCTTTGTCTCTGTTTCCATTATTGGACTCGTTGTTCCAAAAACGTTCTTCTAACCCGAGGATCATGTTCTTGTTTTTATTATCTTACAGGGTGAGCTGATCGGTATATGTGGGGGAGTCGGTAGCGGCAAAAGCTCATTTGTGTTGGCTTTGTTGAATCAAATGACGATGTTAGAGGGCGATATTTCGGTGGATGGGACATTCGCATATGCTCCTCAGCAACCATGGATAATAAATGCAACTGTTAGAGAGAACATACTATTTGGAAGTTTATTCGACCGTGACAAGTATAATTTTACTCTATCGGTGTGCTGTCTTCAACACGATTTACATGTATTACCGAAAGGAGAGTTGACAGAAGTAAGTTGATCTGACGGTACAACAGGCGTTTCTAAAACTTCTCGTCACCATTAAATTTTTAAGGTAGAGATGCAGGTTCGTGGGCACTTGAAAGTGAAATTTATTTATTTTTTTCCTTTTTATTATTTTGGCTATAGACTTAAAATTTTGTAGAATTTTGAATAGCGATTTTAAAAACGATTTTAAAATATAGATAACAGGTGAAAACATTCTCTTTTTTGAATGCTTAGCAAGATTCAGCAAGGCTGTACATAAATAATAAAAAAGAAACATGGTGAAAAAAAGAAATGATGGGATCTCCATATTATGCACTATATTTAACTTTTAACAAAACTATAATATATTTAAATTTGGAACTGTTACAACCATTTTAATTATGAGCATTAGCAAACTTCTTACTGAGTGAATTGTTATGCAAATTAGCTTCTTTTGTGTGCACATATTACAACTTTAAAAAAATAGCTCATAGACGCTTTGACCTTTTGTTTTGAAATTTTCACAAATGATTGACAATGTGTTTATCTTCAAAACGCCATTGGGGCATTGTTTTTGGTTGAACAGTGTTACAACAATCGTACAGACAACTAGCCTGGATGTTAATTTATGCATACACTTAAAGTAGTAAAATTTGAGCTGCTGCCCTGCAAAATTGGCAACTGGAAGACAGTTTTCAAGACGGCACTTCCTTCATAGTAAACAGATGTACCCATAAACCAATTTGGACAGGAACAGAAGCATGGTTTAGAAGCTATTCTGTTTAAATCAATTTTGACCAAAAAAGCACATTTTTTGTGCATATTTCAAACTACGGTGTCCATAAAAAAATACTATCAAAATTTTAAAATTCATACAATAAGCTTTCCGAAAATATATAGTTTTGTGTACAAGGGAGGCCATCTTGGTTTCCTAATTAACTGTCAGGTAAACTGCATCTCTACCTTAAGTAAAACAAAAATATTATCATATTATGGCGAATACGGTACACATCCTGAAATCGCTAATGAATGTTGAATAGTCCTCTCAAGTGATCTTTTATCAACAGATTGGAGAACGAGGAATTAATCTGAGTGGTGGACAAAAACAACGTATTAGTTTGGCGAGGGCGCTCTATTCAGATAGGGATATATACCTTCTTGACGATCCTTTGAGTGCAGTCGATGCACATGTTGGTAGACATATTTTCGCAAATTTGATAAAAGGTGCCTTGAGGTCCAAAACTGTAATATTTGTAACGCACCAACTACAGGTAAACGATTAATACTAATCATTGCACAGTTTATTGCTCCTAAGTCGTCTAGGAACGCCTTGCCTTCTGTCATACTGCCCAGATAAAACAATATAACACGTTTTCGGTGTGGTACTAATGAAATATACGCATGATGTTTTTTTTTTCTTTTCAACTCGTCTTTTGATTGAATTGTAACAAATATGCCAATGAATGTGATGTTCTTAGTTACAACAACATATGTGAGGACAATTGCTCCATGTAAAGTGTTTTTCTGTTTTTCTTTTCATCACCAGTTCCCTCTTTTTATCACGAATTTACAAAATAGTCTCATTTATTAAAGTCAACACTTTCCGTCCGAAGATTGAGACAAAAATAGCCAAATGTGTTGAGTAAAAACTGAAAATTTACTCAAATTGTGTCTGTTAGCTCCAAAATTGGTGTTCATTTATAGAAATATTGGAGAATACAAGAAAAAGGTGAAGACAAATTTCGGCGAGAAATTCTGGTGGTGAAAATGTTAACATTTAGTTCGAGGCGATAATCCGATGTTTATGATAATGTCCGTCACTGTAAACAATAAATGCCTATCTTCACAATCAATGCGTAGAGAAATGTCTAAATGTTGGTCATGTGATGTCATAACATGTTTAACTTGTGTTACATAATAAACACTACATATGGTTATCATGTTGGTTTAAATACAATCGTAGATTGATACTTTGCGTCATATTCATTGCAGTACTTACGGCATTGTGACTGTATTGTTGTCACTAAAGATGGCCGATTCACTGAACGGGGCACACACGAAGAACTGATGGCTGTTGACAATACATATGCACAACTAATTAAATCGCATCATGCTGGAACAGAAGATGACAGTATTGTCTTATTGGAATCTATGCATGTGCAACTACGTGAACAATCCAGTATTCATTCAGCAGAAAGCAGTGGAAGTGACGTAGAGAATAATTTTGAAGGTGCGAAGGTCTATTTGTAATGGCGGTAGCAAAATATTGTACTCGGAGACTTACACCTACTCGTCAATCAGATCCACATGTCTGACCCAAATTCAGCATTTTCCGACAAGTTCGTGGACAACTGTTCATAATTGTTTATTTATAACCACAGTCCCTCTGTGTTATAACCAAACAAATAAGAATTGTTTGTATGGTAATCATATTTGAATCTCTGTCAAAATCTTATCGATCATGATTGGTTTGGAAATTATTATGTGAATTCATCTATAAGTTTTTGAGTAATAAATGAAAAATCATCCTCAATTTACTGTTACTATGGCAACTGTACACATCTGTACGTAATTTTAGCCATGTGTTCATGGTAATCTCCTGATAATTTCCATCATTATAAATTAAAAAAAAACATTCCCGAAATTGTAGTTGTCATGGTATCTGTCCCATATGTGTACCAATGTGTAATGGGTTTGGCACGCCCCTTAGATATATTATAAGTACCCATATATAGCGTCTTTTAAACTAAAAGACAAATCACGAGTTCTTTCCGGGGTAATTAAGTAAGTAGGGCATATTTAATTATGTAAAGTAATATGAATTGTGTTATACGATGGATTCTCTCCACATAAGATAACACTGGCATCACTCTTGCATACAAATATGTTATCTGTTTTTAATTACGTCAGGCAAGCTAATCCAGGAGGAACAAAAAGGCGAAGGAAAGGTCAAATGGAGTACATATAAGCATTACATCAACGCTAGTGGTGGTTATATCAGTCTTGTATTAGTCATACTATTATATGTATTGTACATGGGTTGTATTGTATTAAGTTTGTTTTGGCTTAATATATGGGTGACAGCGGGCAGTGGCGTAAGTATTATATCCAATTTTATATATTAAAAAATGTAATCGTGTGCCGGATACAAAGTTGTCTAAAAAAAGTTTGTTTATTTTCAGAATACAACTGTTATGCGGGATAATTTAACATACATAAGTGCGAGCATAACAGACAACCCAAGACTGGAATATTACGTCACAATATACTGTGTTATTGTGATTGTTATGTTACTAGTGGGTGTTATTAAAGGATTTGCCTATATGAAGGTAAGCACAAAGTTAACTTGAAATCAACCGGTGCTTTTCCGAATTAAGACACACGCAAAAAAGGAGATATTTAAGATGTCAATTTGGTTTTCTCGTAATAGACTACACTGCGGGCATCCAATCATCTCCATGATGATCTATTTCATAAAATATTCTGCTGTCCAATGAGCTTCTTCGAAACAACTCCCACTGGGCGGATCTTGAATAATTTTTCAAAAGATACAGATGAATGTGAGTATGCAACGTTCGATTAGTTAA